GATATTTTGAAATATAAAAGTCAATTGATTGTCCATAATATCGCTATTCTATTTTTCGAAGAAATGTTTGTTAAAAGAAAAGTCCAGTACCTGCTGGATTTGAACACACAACCTGCGAGTTGTTAGTCAGGCACGTAGACCGGTAGGCTACAGGGGAACTCGCATGAACAGGGAGGCGAAACAGCCCTACACAGCCCTGTAGCAGTACACGACTATAATCATACCGTTATTAAATTCTTTAGATACGCGATTCCATATTATATTCCCTATTAATCAAATTCTAAAAGTATGCTTGTTGACTCCGGTATCTCTTTAGTTAAAGACAATGCCAAAATAATATGACTATTAAATAGTACAACTTGTACAATTATGGCTTACATTCAGTTGTTGTGTATGTAGTGGTGTTGGAGTACAGTCATTGTGGGTACAAGAAGAAGTGAGAACAGATCATAGTATGATGGGAGGCAGTGGGGGAATCACCAGTTTGACAGCTCTGGGGAAGAAGCTATTTTGGAGTCTAGTTGTGTGCGACTGGAGCATTGGAACCTTCTTCCAGATGGTAGGGGGACAAACAAGTTATGACTGGGGTGAGTGGGGTAAGACAATTTTGGTGGCTTTTTTCAGACTCCTGGTGTTGTAGATTTCCTGGATGGATGGTAAGGCACTGCCGATGATGTGTTGGGCAGTTTTGACCACCCGCTGCAGTGCCTTACAGTCGGCCTGTGATGCAGCTGGTCAGTATGCTCTCCACTGTACATCTGTAGAAGTTGGTGAGGATCCATGAATGCAGGCGAATGCATGTATTGCATTTGTATTTGTTCCATTTTCTAAGATAACCCGGGTATTGATTGACATTTGGCTGACTTGTCAGTTGAAAGATTTGAATTTTTTTTAAATTTCTATCACTCATAATTATCATCACGATTTCTGAAGTACTTTATTATTCAGAATTGAAAATTATTGCTAGAACGTGGTGAACAGACTGTTTTTTTTACAATGATGGTACTTTACATTTTCTTTTTTCATGAGAACTCTACTCAAAACCCTTGTTAAAGGCCTTGTTCTCTTGTCCTGTGTTTGCAGGGTCAGAGGCCAGTGGTCTCCCTGATGCTGGGGAAAGGGCTCATCTTGAACAGCAGCACAGTGAGGAGGAGGAGTGGGGCTCCAGTCTGATGCAGGAGACAGAGATCACTGCTGCAGAAGGGAAAGAGACACTCAGTGAGCAGCACACAGAGAGCAGACAGAGTGTGGGGGATCTGGAAACTGTGCCCATGATGAAGACAGAGTCTGAGAGTGAGACACCTGGGCCCTTAGTAGCTGAGGGTTTTACAGAGAAGTTTAATAATCTGGACTCAAACCTTTTCAAAAACAGTTGTAATGAACTGGATAACTTTAATCCCACAGAGCATGACATGGAGCCCCAGTTGATTGACCCTGCAGAGCTGCAGACTGATATACCTGGTGAAGAGAACAGTACTGAGATACAGCACACAGAGGAGAGTCAGTACAGGCAGGAACAACAGCGACAAGTACAGGGTTTGATAATAACAAGACCTTGTTCTGTTAAAGTGGAGCGACTGTCATTGCAGAGGAGTTTTAAACAGTCATATGATCCCTTAGTATCTGATGACTTTACACACAGGTTTAATAATCTGGTTACTAAGAAAATCATTGAATTTAATTAACTGAAGTGTCTGTCTGTTCTTGGACACAGAGACGAACAACTGAATGAACTGGATGCTTTTAGTCTTGGAGAGCTGGAGATGGATCCCCAGATGATTCAGACTTCTGAGCAGCACACTGAGGGACACGATGGAGAAAACACAGCTCAGTTTCAGCACACAGAGCAAAACCATTCCATGGAGCATTTGCAGAATAAGAGAACACAGCACAATGAGAAGGTGAGGAAGAATCAGTCAAGGTCTTGCTCAGATGCAGTGGACAAACTGCCATTATGGCACAGGAAGGATGAGCCTTTCTGTCAGTCTTGCATTTCAAAACCTTACCAGCACCTTCACACAGGAGAGAAACCGTTCAGCTGCAGTCAGTGTGGGAAGAGTTTTAGTCGGTCAAATTACTTAAAAACCCACCAGCGCATTCATACAGCAGAGAAACCATTCAGCTGCAGTCAGTGTGGAAAGAGTTTTAGTGAATCAGGCACCTTAAGAGTCCATGAGCGCATTCACACAGGAGAAAGACCATTTGTCTGCAGTCAGTGTGGAAAGAGTTTTAGTCAGTTAAGTAACTTAAGAGCCCACCAGCACATTCACACAGGAGAGAGACCATTCAGCTGCAGTCAGTGTGGGAAGAGTTTTAGTAGCTCAAGTAACTTAAGAACCCACCAGCGCACTCACACAGGAGAGAGACCATTTAGCTGCAGTCAGCGTGGGAAAAGTTTTGTCCAGCCAGGTGACTTAAAAACACCAATTTAGTCACCAGTTTTTCATTTAATCATAGTCTTAGTCAAGTCACCTAAAATGTTTATTAGTTCAAGTAGGTAGCTGAGCGAGCATGTAACACACAGAAGGCTTCGCAGCCGAAATATTGTTTCCTTTGTTCTCTTTTCAGCATGGAATAAACCTTTACTTGTTACTAAAATGTCTAGTAGTCATAGTAGCTTTGTAGTCACCTACTTTTGAGTCTAGTGAAATAAATTTTGAATATAATTACTCTTGTGTTTGACTAAAATGGAATTAGTTCCAGTCATGCAAGTAGTTGACAGGTTGCCCCTTTGGAACACCTGTCAGATAATGACGGGAAAGGAAAACAAAAAAAGCTCTTACATACCACATGAGAGATGGGAATCTGATTGGAGAAAAGCTACCCTTTCCTTATCAGAGAGTCAAGCCCTGGTCTCCCACATGTCAGCTGTGGTACTAACCACTATACTAACAAGGAGCACTTGCTTGCTGTTAGGAAGCATTTCCTCGTACAGCTCGTTTTCAAAATTCATTTTCATTCCTTCCAGAGGAGTGCAAGAAAATAAGTTTCCATCTGTGCCATCCCCACTCTTCCTCTGCTGTTGTCACTGCTCCTCCTTGTGCTCTACGAACACCTATGGAGTTGGTTCTTTCAGATTTATTAATTAGGTTTTCAAAGGCTGGAAGTAGGGCACCAGACACACAGACGCAAAAAGTGTTGTTATCTCCTTTCAGCTGTGAAATGTTGTTCGTAGATGGTGAAGAATTTATTTCCAAGGCAGCAGATCCAAACAATTTAGCATTTTAAAAGGACCAGGAAAAGAGAAAGGGCGCTTTTCCTTATTTGTGGAGCCACACAACACCTTGAGAAGGCTGCTGAAGTTAATAATAATTGCTTACATTTATATAGCGCTTTTCTGGACACTCCACCCAAAGAGCTTTACAGGTAATAGGGACTCCCCTCCACCACCACCAATGTGCAGCATCCACGTGGATGATGCAACAGCAGCCATAGTGCGCCAGAACACTTACCCCACATCAGCTCTCAATGGGGAGGAGAGCAGAGTGATGAAGCCAATTCATAGATGGGGATTATTAGGACGCCATGATTGGTAAGGGCCAATGGGAAATTTGGCCAGGATGCCGGGGTTACCACAGAGAGTCAGGACCTCAGTTTTATATCTCATACGAAGGACAGCACCTGTTTACGGTATAGTGTCCCCGTCACTATACTAAGGCATTAGGACCCACACAGACTGCAAGGTGAGCACCTCCTGCTGGCCCCACTAACACCTCTTCTAGCAGCAACTTTAGTTTTTCCCAGGAGGTCTCCCATCCAGGCTGACCAGGCTCACACCTGCTTAGCTTCAGTGGGCTGCCAGTTGTGAGTTGCAGTGATATGGCTGCTGGGTTAGGAGTTAGCAGGATTTAGACCTGTACAAGGAGAACCCAAAGGATTTCTAGGCTATTACCTTAACCACTCAACCATGTGTACAGCAAGTGCTTGCTACAATCTAACATGGAGTGCGAGGTGGTGACGGAAACACTTTTCAAAGTCGCTTTCCATTAAAAAAAAAAAAATGTTTACAAAATACATGCTAACAGATGGACGCTCCAGAGGATTTAAAGTTCTTTACAGTTGGAATGATAAAGTCTCTCTGTTCGGAAATGGAAAATGGAACTTTGTTAGAAAAAAGTCACCCACGGAGAAATGTGGACAAGTGTTCAGAAGCTGCTGTATTTTGAATAGCATTTATAGTCATGTTAGGGGCAGGGATTGCCTTTGATTTGACTTATGCTCTTACAACCGCAATGAAAAGAAAACCTCAAGTCCTGCAGTTTAACTTTCCTAGCCTACCGATTCTTTAATTTTAAATCTCCAAATCTTCAATGAGAATCGGTAAAATGAAAACCAAACACATATGCACACTCGTGTCCTAGCGTGAAAACAATATGATGGAAGCATTTGAGAATCTCCTTCACAACACAGACAAGGATTTTGATTTCTTCCCAATTGCACAGCTTGTATGGGTGTTTCCTCAATATTCTAGTTTGTAAAGCTGTGAATTAATAGGGTCGAAGCACTTATTTAGTATTTTCGTATCTCTGATTTAAAAGCTAGAAAAAACAAACCTAATGCAAGACTTGAAAAACTTCCTGAAATAAAAAAAAAATGTTTAGAGCTTCTTATCGCCAGCACCCATATCACTCTGCAGCCCACTGAAGCTAAGCAACTGTGAGCCTGGTCAGTACCTGGATGGGAGACCTCCTGGGAGAAAAACTTAGGTTGCTACTGGAAGAGGTATTAGTGGGGCCAGCAAGAGGTGGGTCCTAATGCCCTCACGCAGTAACATACTATAATGGGGGAAGATTTTCACTGTGTTTTTCAGTACCCAAGTGCCTGTTGTGTCTTTATTGTGCACAGAGTCACAGTGGGTGTCTTGTGATGTAGTGCCAGGTACTATTAAGATGTAGTACGTACAAGAAAGAATTTAGTCTGTTGTAAATGGTTCAAATCCATATCCATGAGATGCAGAGCCTCAAGCTCCAACAAATGAGCCAGTTGAGTGCTGGCTGGCAGGTGTTATCGTCACTTTGTAAAGGTTTAATAGCTGAGTTTCAATAACTAGCGTTGTGGGGTGCCAGAGTCAAATGTCGTCCAAAGCAGAGAAATTGTAAGTAAAGTCTGATGTTTGAGATCATTAACAATTTGTTTACGTTTGCAGTTACAGATTAAAATGCAGGAAAGACTTTCTCTGGGTTTATCTGTGTCTGAGTGCCTGTTGCGAATATGTTGAATGCAGAGTTTTTGATTCATCTATTCAAACAAAGAAAGAAATTTGCTCTTTGATTATTTTCAATTTCATCAATGATACATATAAAAAATATAACAAAATTACCATATACTGAACATCATTCATGTTTACATTCATGTTTGTCGAATTCCCCAAAGAATTTTAAAATATTTTAGCTGAGGATGCAACGTGAGTAGAAATGAATTCTCCTGTGCCCCATTCGAAGATCAAATTACATAGGTAAGTATGATTTTTTTTAGAGGATACCAATATTGGGACATTATTTGGCATTCCTGGTGATGTCTGAACTTATTTATTTACTTCTTGTAGTTGGACACACATTTCCTGCTATACAAACTATACATTTTGCTGAACATGCTAACCGATTGCACAACAGAGACTTCCACGGCTGGGCTTCTCAATCCGCAGGCTTTTGTTCAAAGAAAAATAAAATAGCTGGCATTTTCTTGCCAATCGACAATATATCTTCTGCATTGATTTGTATTTTATCTTTGGGAAGTTGAATTAATTTCTTGAGAAATGCACTAGCCAAGTTTCACTGAAAATTACCAGGTCGTCCAGGTAGGCAACCGCATAGTGGAGATGGGGTCTCAGAAGCCAGTCCATCAGGCATTGAGAGGTGGCGGGGGCTCCATGGAGTCCGAAGGGCAGCAATTTGTACTGGTAAAACCCTATGGGAGTCAAAAAAGCGGTCTTCGGCTTTGTCGGGCTAGACGGGGATTTGCCAATAACCTTTTGTAAGGTCTAAGGTGGTAATAAATTTGGCCTTGCCCAGCTTCTCCAGGAGCTCATCTATCCGGGGCATCGGGTAGGCAACAAAACGGTAGACGTCATTGAGTTTTGTGAAGTCATGCAGAAACGCCAGGAGCCGTCAGGTTTTGGGATGACCACAATGGGGCTGAACCATTGTGGTTCTCTTCATGCTTCGCTTCAGGTACCAGGTAAAGGGGCACCTGTACAACAACTCCAGGGGGCGTCTCCACATGATGCGGTACCAAGCATGTCCGCCTGGGCAGATCTGAAAAGAGGTGACGGTTCCAGTGTAGGAGTGTCTGGGCTTCCTTGATCTGAGGGGGGGAGAGGTTTGGAGAGAGGGAAATTAGGTCCACGGAGGAAGAGGAAGTGTTGCTGGACAGTAATGCGGGGATGGCCTCTTCCGACAGGGGCTCTCTCCAAGGTTTCAGGGGGTTCACGTGGTATATCTTTTCTTTTCTACGGTGGTCTGGATGGTATACCTTGTATGTGACTGGCCCTGTTCATTTCCAGATTTCGTAGGGTCCCTGCCATCTCGCGAAAAGCTTACATTTTGGTGAGGGCAGTAGCAGCATTACGGGATCCCCAGGGCGAAAGATCCTTTGCTGCGCTGTACGATCATAGTATTCCTTTTGTCTGTCTTGAGCTCACTGTACGTGTTCCCCCACTGGTGGCTTCAGTTGTGCAAGCCTGTCCTGAAGGGAATGGACATAGTCTAGCACATTGTGGGAAGACAAGCGGATTCCTTGGGGTTGTCGCCCATATAATAACTCGAAAGGGGAGCACTCTGTGGAGGCTTTGGATACCTCTCGGATGGCAAATATCAGGAGAGGGAGGATTAAGTCCCAATCTTTCCTGTCGGCTTGCGAGACCTTTTTCAGCATCTGCTTCAGGGTTTTGTTAAATCTTTCCACCAGCCCGTCTGTTTGTGGATGCTGCACTAAAGTTCTCAGGAATTTTATGTTCAGGAGTTTAGCTATCTCCTGCATCAGGCGTGAAGTGAACGGAGTCCCTTGGTAAGCCAAATTGGGTGAAGAGATTTACCATCTCCTAAGCGATGCTGGTGCTGAGGGCCCTATGTAGTGGTATCGCCTCTGGATACCTGGAAGCGTAATCCACAATCACTAGGATATATTCGTGTCCCCGGGCGGATTTAGGAAGGGGACCTACTATATCCATGGCGATGCGATCGAAGGGCTCGTCAATGATAGGCAAGGGCTGTAATGGTGCTCAGAACTGCAGTTTCAGGAAGTTTAGCTGACAGTCAGGGCAAAATGTACAAAAGCGCCTGATGTCAGTGTATACTCCTGGCCAGAAGAACCTTTTCCAGACCCACCCCTGGGTTTTGTCTACGCCCAAGTGCGCCCCCAGCAGATGTGTGCGCGCCAGGTGTTTCGAAGGAACCAGAAGACACTCCAGATTGAGACCATTACATTGGTATACCAGGTCATTCTTTATAATAAAAGAATTTTGGCGTCCCTGAAGAGCCTCCACCGGTTAACCTTTCAATTCAATTGCCTGGGCTCGGGCATGGGTCAGGGTAGGGATCCCCTCCGGGGGAAGTCTGTGGTGAGGATGCCCATCTCCCAGTTGTCAAGGGGGTCCGTAGACGGCCCAGCTTGCTTAGATCCGGGGGGCAAAGACGGCAAGGCAGATGCATTAGTATTAATTTGGGTAACGCCTCCTTTCCTTTTGCACTTCCCCAGGGCACAAATGCCTACATCTGGCTTGAAGTTTTGTTGGCGTTTTTGATTCTTTGCGGAGTCGCAGTTCGATTCAGAGCTGTTTCCAGAGTACAGCTCAGCGAACAGGGGAAAATTCCTTCTGAGAAGTAGGGGGTGTGGCAGGCCCTGTACTACTGCAGCTGTGATCACTACTGTGGGCCCTCTAAGACAAAGCCGTAGGCGGGCTACCGGGTGTTCTCGTTGCTCCCCATGAATGCAGCCGACAGAGATCTCATGATTTTTTTCGACCTGGTGTGGTCGGACTACATCAGGGGTGACCAAACAGAGAGCGCTTCCAGAATCGACGAGGGCTAGGAGGGACTGTCCATTAAATAGGATGAGTTCTACCGGAGGATTCGTATGCACCGTCCCCTTATGCCAATTACGGGAGGAGTGGACGATATTACAGTCCAGGTTTGTATCTTCAGCAAGACACTGATCAGACTCGTGTCCCTCTATGGCACATCGGGTATAGAGAGATGACCCCTGAATTCTCCTGGTGGCCCGGTCCGCGGGGGTTGAGTGCACTTTGAATTTGGGGCGGACCCCTCAGTAGGTTTCTAATGTTTTCCCCTCCTGCTGTGTACCTGCACCTGAGGATGGTGGCATCCTCATCCCGCCCTGCAAGAT